GAAAGGAAGAGGAGGAACTCCAGGCACAGAGTCCTCCTCACTTCCTGAGGAGGAAGCAGTGGCAGAGACAGGGTGTGGTTCAATTTCTCATTATCCTATTCTGATTAGATTGAAAAAAAAATTAACTAATTTTTCTCCAGGTTGAGTCTGTTTTGCCCATGACACTAACTGATGAGTGATCTCCCCCTATTCTTATCTTGACCCATGAGCCTTTCATTATATTTTCTGCCCCCAGTCCAGCTGGGGAGAGAATAACAGAAAGGCTTTGGGGGACACTTGACATCAAGCCAGGGTCAACCCATCACAGTGGGGAAATGTAAATGCAAAACTTCTCAGGCTATCAGGCTCTTTCTGGATCTCCTAAAAAAAATTCCAGCTTTTCTTAGTTCATTAGGTTCGCTGTCAGTTGTGTTTAAATCCATTTCAAAGAGTTGCATCTGGAAGACAGCAAGATTTTCTAAAACGTTGTGTTGTACTCCTAGTTTTGGGCTCACAAGAAGCCATGGAGGAAAGCAGTGAAATTATAGGTGTTCTTTTTCATTAAGCTCTATCAGAAGTGTGGCAGCACTTCTACCCAGACTATGCATAAAAAAAAAGCGGCCAGTTTTAAAAACACAGCAAAACCTTCACAGGCTTGTGCTGTTGCAGCTAACACATACCTTAGAATACATTAACTCTGTGCTTTAAGAATGCTTATTCCCAAATAATTTTTAATGGACTTTCCTAATCTCCAGAAAATAAGAAAGCTTACTGTGGTGTTTATGATTTTCACTGCTGTGTGTCACTGTTCGGTTTCATTTAATAACCTACAATCTCTTAGCACTTAGCAATGTACCTTGTGTAAAGTACACACCACTTTCCTTCTGAAGTATCACTCTTGGTTTTTCTGCCCACACTCCCATTGTGTGGGTGGCATATAAAACAAATACCTCTTCCTGCTGGTGCAGTTGCCACTTTTCATCTCTAGTACAATATCCATCTAATCAGACAGTGCCTGTAAATGCAACTTAAAAGAGCAGGTTGTAATTTCATTAAAGATGTATTTACTGAGCTAAAACAGCTGTTCTGGGCTGGAATGCAAAAAAAGGCCTATGTGATTGCTACTCAGTCATTTTTAAGGCAACTGAAAAATACATTTGCTGAGCTAACCTCACTCTCCCGAAGAGCTGGCACTGCTAACTTCTTCTGGATAAAAGGTTTAAACAGTTATTATAATGTGCCATAAATTTTGACTTGTAATTGAAAATCTCTTCACTTCCTAAAAAAAAAAAAAAAAAAGTACTTATTACTTGCTATATAATTACAGACCATGCAGCTGCTCTCCTCGGCTTCACTAGAAAATTTGAAGACATGAAACACTGTACAAACCTTATTCAAATGTTATTAAATTGCTAGTCATAGATCTGCCACTCTCATGCTGTAGGCTCTCAAATAATGTCATTTTCTCTCTGTTACCAGGACTAAAATGTAGATGAATAAAAAGTTAATCCAGGCCATATTGATTCCCTACCACACAGAAGACCATCAACTCCTTGGAAAGAAAGTATAATCTCTATTTCTGCTGAGCAGACATCAAAGGGAAAGATACCTGAACATGTGCCTAGCAAAAAAATTTGATGCATGAAGACAAATTTTATTTAATTTTCAGTAGGTCTTAATCATTATGCATGGCCAGAATTGTCTGAGTCACTTTGACACAATCTGTGCCATTTCCTTTTGCCACTTATAATGAGAAAAAACTCTATTCACGGAATAGTGAACTTCATATTGCAGCCAAAGACATAGGACTGATGACCCCACAACATCCTGTTCACCTCCAGTAGTTTGACATGAGTCATACTTGATTAACTATTCCCCACCCTTTTTGTACTGGGGAGGCTGTTGTGTGAGGCAGAACTCTTAGAGCAATTAAAATTAAATATATACCATGTGCCTCTACCTCTGATTAACAGTGCATTTCAGTCTTGGGTCACTGATTAGAAGTGGACAGCTTCTGGAAAAAGGCTTTACATACCCCAGACTTCACACTGGATTTGATTGTCCCTGTTGATGCAGTAGCAATGTTTAGATCAACAAGATATTAATTTGCTGGGACCAATTTAGGCTCTAACAAGAATTTTAAGCACTGAAGAATGCAAATAATTCTTTATCACAGTGGTGCAAAAGAACTGTGGAAACAGTTATCATACATCACTCACACTACTGTTTTCACCTAGTAATTATCATTTTTTTAACTCCTGCCCATTCATACACAGAGGAGCTCCATGACATGTATCACAGTTTGAAATCTCAAATCAGGTCTACAGGATGTTGGATAAGTAACTTCCACTAGTGAGACCAAAGTTTCCCAGGCAATTTAAAAACTGCTATTCAAAGAACCACTTTAAGGCTTTAAATTCAAAATACAGACTATCATAGTTGGTTTAGATCATCAGTTCAAAACAACTGAAATTGGGAATTACATTTTGCATCATCAGAATAAACTGTTCTCAGATTTGAAGCACGGTTATTTATATACTCCTGGGCAATTACACAATTTGACAAATAGCCAAATTATTTTTTATAAAGAGTCATGTTTTCAAACATAGTAATTTCTTTAGAAGTTGAGGTTTTTTTCTCATTTAATCCAATTGCAACTGGAGATGCTTACAGTCCATCAGGGACCTTTATAATCAGGACTTTAAAAGCCTGAAATTATTTTCCAATTACTACTCAACACACCAATCGGTGCAGCAATACTGTTCACATTTGTCACCAGAAATCACTGGGATCGCTTTTCTCTTTGCTTGCACATGGGTCACTAAAACAACCTAAAACAAGATAAGGTGGAAAAACAGACAAGGATTTCTGAAAGACTATGGATCCACTATCACTGGTTCTGGCATTCACCAGGAGCAAATTACAGAAACAAAACACAAAATACAAAAATTCAGTTTGTCCCACTTTGCTGCCACTAAACTAGACACTTTTGAAAACTGAATCAACAATAGACACATTTAAAAATCTGCAGTAATTGTTGAAACAGATACCTACTATAATTCTCATGCAATCTAGGGATGACACCAAAATGAAATTACTGAGAAAATGAAAACAGACAGATGTGCAAAGAACACTGTTAGCTGTAGAAAAAGGAAATTTATATTGAAAGTTATAAGAAAAACAGCTCAGAGATCTGCTCAGAAATATTTTTGCATGTAGGAAGAATAACAAAGGGAAATTCTTGAGGGCTTTATTTATCATTGTAGATGCTAAAACTCTTAAAATACAGGAGCTGAGAAGCTGAAATATAATTTGTCTTTCACCTAAAAAAAAATCTCTTAATTTCAAGATGGAGAAATCACTTTGACATTATTTGCTAATTTATAAAATTTCAATATCATCATTTTCTCATCCATCCATTCATTCAGATTATACCTGGGCAAATTAATTTGCTGGTATTAAATAAGTCCATAAAAAAAACAATAGCTTTTGTTTTAGAGATTCCAAGTTTATCTTCCTTGATTTAGCATCATGAATCATGGTTTGGAAATGTCCACTTTTTGGACAGTGAAGATATGCTCACATGTTGTGCTACATAAATAAAAAGAAATGTGTCTTTCTATACAATAGAAAGCACACAATGCTAATTATCAGAGGCATTTGCCTCCGAAGTGCAGATGTTGGAGAAAAAGAAGGGATAGGGTCACTAAAAATATCTAACAGAAGTGCAATCCAACCAAAGACATTGTGGGTTCATCATCTATTAATTCTGCTTATGAGACCTAGAAGGAGACATGATTTAAAACAACAGAAGCAGCACAAAAGCAAGAATAAATCACAGAAACACAATGCATTTACTGTGGACTACTCTACAATACATACTTAAAGAGCAAGCAAAGAGAAAAATCCGTCTTGACATCCAAAAGTCTTCTCTTGAAAATAATATTTTGTGTATTACATTCACACATATCTGTCACTCTAATAAGAAAAACAGCCAAATCACTTTTTAAATTTGTTTCAAATGCAAGAAAATTATTTTTTTTAAAGTACGTATATAAATATATATACATATGTATCTAACACAGAAATGTTTTTGCTAGATTTTTTATTTTTCCACTATTATATTCAACTGATGGAAAATATCAGATATGATAGGGGAAAACTAAAAAAATAAAGAGGCACTATGCATATCAGCTGCTAAAATTAAAACTGTGCAAAAATAAATCAGGACTCCTAGTGCCAGAAGGACTTGTTGGGTTGTGGACACCTGGGTTCTAATTCCTGTTCCCAGAGCTATTTCCATGTTGAGATGTTTTAATGAAATAATGATTCAGCATCAAAACAAGAAAGAGTTCCAGAAAATGAGGACCAAAAACTGCTCTGCTAGTTGAAAGCAGCCAAACTAATTTAAAACCCTTTTGCAGGAGAGACTCCCTTCCCCTGCTCACTAAAATTTTCTCTTTGTTTGTTCCAGACTAAATTAATCTTTCTTGAACACAGGGGGCCTGTTCCAGATTTCCACTCTGCTTTACACTTCTGCTAGTCTGGCTTTTCATTTCCTCAAGAGGAAGGTTTCTCTCCAAGACTTAACAGACATGAACCAAGGAGCCAGCAAAGCCCACCATGCTCTGCTTGTAATTCACCTTGCCAGTGCAAAAGAGCAACTCTCCTGCCAAATTTTCTCCCTCTTGGTATTAGCACATCATTCTGAAGGCTACTATCACTATTACAGTCCTAAAACATCTTTACTCTCTCCAATAAATTCACTGAATACCCATGTGCTCACAACACCTACACATCACTTTTCTTTCCTCCACAGGAATCTGTTACCTGGACAATTCACCCAGGTTGGGTTTCCCTGCACAGCTGCCTCTGGAACAAGATTTGTCGTGCCAAAAGAGCAGCAATGTGGGAAATAAATCTTGAACACAATGTCAAAGAACAAGCTCTTAGTAGTAGGGATGGATTCCAGCATTGTGCAACAATTGAAATCTGAAAGTGAACGTGAGCGTGGCTCTCACCTTCCTCTCGGTAAGTCTGCATCATCTTTCTTCCACCGGACTGTGGGTGTGGGATCCCCCTGCACCTGGCACCGGAAATCCACGGCCTCCTCCTCCAGCACCACTTGGTTGATCGGTCTCCTGAGAAACGTGGGCCGCTCTTGAAAGAGACATCAAAATTCCACAGTGAGTCAGAGGGCTGAAATGAACACTTTTTGACTTTTCAGCATCTTGTTGCTTACCCGTCCTCAAACAGAAAGGAGGCTGCGCTCCACAAATTCAGACAAGTGGAACTGATGATGTGCATCAAGAACCGGGAAGAGGTTCTGGTTCTGGGCTGGAGAGGCAGGGGCTGTCCCATCCTGCCCTCCAGCAAGAGCCACCAGAAGGCTGCCTGTGCCAGGACTGACCTGCCAGGCAGTGGGGAGGCCTCCGAGGCCGTGCCCTTCCCTGGGAAAGCTGTGGCTCTGCAGCGCTGCACACATGGAGCCTGAGCTGGGAGCTCCTGCTGCAGCAATGTGTGAGCTGCTGATGGACAATTCCTGACAATGGAGTCAGCCTGCCTTTGGCAGTGATCAACAGCTTGATGCTGAGGAGGAAAATTTAAACTCTGTGTTAGCACCTCAGGCAATTGTGAGCTGTCGTGCACAGGACAGAGCTTCCCTGATCCCCATCGCCAACTTCACCAAGGAAAACCAAATTAAGGTCCAAATAATAACTTCTGTTTACCCTTGTTATGTTAGGCTGCACGGCTACAAATAGTATTAATCACCATAATGTTGTACAGGCCTGCTTAAAATCCAGATGCAGAGCCACAATCTGATCTCAGTTATACTGGTACAAAATCCAAGTACCGGTAATTTCATTTGAAAGGATGTCACTGGGGTTAGTTTCCAAGTTGCATTTGGACTGTACAAATTTTTTTCTGTCCTCTCAGCCATACCACACTTTTATTGTCATAAATTATTTATGCTAGTCAAACCATTATAAGGCTGGGTTTATATGAAACAGTATTTCCACACAAGACAGGGATTTATCATAAAGACATTTAAAACTTGGTTACACACTAGGTTTCATATTTCACTCTCAGCAAGTTAAGGGATATGATGTCACTTAAAAAAATTACTCAGAATTCACACAGATGCAAGCAATACCAGATTCTGACTCAGGCAGTTTGTCTTGATAACTACAGAGCTGATTTTATAGGTTTGTTATGCACAATTACTATACAAATAATCAAATGCAAGTAATTTTTAAAAAAAGTTAAAAGAACATTATTAAGGTTGAAAAATCAAGCTAGCCACACTTACTGACAGAATTAAGGCTGTCTGCTTGTCTTTCAATCACTTCCTTTCTGTTTATGATGCCTTATGGGACTGATTTCAATTATACGATCACACACTATTTTTTCCCCAAACATCTCCAGATTGTCGGTATTCATTTAATGAGCAGGTGTTTAATATTTCGCTTTAGTTGTACTGTTTAGAAGGTGGCCCCCTGTCTTACTACTCAAACTGCACTTCAAAGACAGAATTATTAATTTCCTCATGATCTCTATAACACCTATATTAATGATAATCACCTCACTTATTTTCATAGCTCCTCTCTGAGGTAAGATAGAGATCTTAAAAAGCAACGTAAAAAGTATCTGCTAAATTTTGATGTTCAACCTGAGCCACATTTTTTTTGTTTTTTGAGGGGGTGAGGGGGGGGGCCTTGAGTGGAAATGAAGTTTTAATTTTGTGTGTTCAAAGCTCAGCTTCCATTAATTCAACTTCAGACAGAAAAGTGTTCACCACTTGTACAAATCATAATATCAGTCAGAAAATGAGGAACACAAAACCACCTGTTAGTAATTATGTAAATGAGTGACAGCATCACACAGGAATTCCTTATTAGCAGGGAAACCTATTGGCAGGGGAAAACATATTTTGTCAGCAGAAGAATAGACATGCTCAAGAATCTATAACACTTTTCCAGATGATAGAGATAAAAGCATGTCTAACGGGCAAAGATTCTTCTCCCCAAGCCATTGCTTTTGTCCTATTCCTATTCCTACCCAGGATCTGCAGATTCCAGCAATGTTTGGACAAGTAAATTAATTTCTAGCCTCTCTACTTATATTGAAATCTTCATAATTTCCCATTTCAAGTCTGTGTACAAGCCCTATCAAGCTACTGACTGTTTCCTTAGTAATTTTATCTTTTTTTTTTTAGCCCAAAAATATCACTTTTCGCACCTGGAACCCACTGGGTTCACAAGTCCAATTCCCCTTCCAATTATCCATGCCTCTCCCTTCTTTGTACCTCACAGCAAATGGACTCTTCTCCAGGTGTTTGCTCTGCACTTGAACTGGGGCTGCTTTTCCCCAGGTCACCCAAATACGGCCTATCCACAAACTTAACACAAGAAAATTCAGCTGAAGTACCCAAGGACCCTCCCAGGAGAGCGACAGCAGCAGGAGCACAGTGCAGATGCAGGAGAATGCTGCCCAGATCTGCATTCATGGGTTCTCTGGTGTATGAATTGATGATACTACTACTTTTTTTTAAGCAGGGGTATATTTGGCTAAATTTAGTGAAAATCCTCTGGACAAACCAAAACCAAAGTGCATCTTTGACATAGTGTAGCTATTCTCAACATATTTTTGGTACCTGATATTCATGAGGCACCAGCACTTCTCAGGACAAAAAGCTTCATCCATTCCTCTCATTCCTGCCCATTTCACTCCAATTATCCCCTTTTTGCCTCCAAACTGCTATAGAACTTCAACATTCTTAGAGAAGAGTGAATTATTTTGTCAATTTAATTTTGTCCAGTAAAATCAGTTTTCCAGTTAGGCATGGAAAAATTTGGATAAAGCCATTTTAATTTGATAAACTTATTAAAACTGGACAAAGGAAAAAAAAAGTCACCAAAAGAAATTTATAAACCTAATGCTGAGCAATGTACTTGGCCCATCTGTAATTATGTGAATCTGGGTGGGAATATTTTAATAACACTTTCTGTAAGTTTGCAATAGCATCTTTTTCACAACTTCTCTCCTAAGAGGAGCTAAGACCAACTCCTGCTCTCAGCTCATACAGAATACTCTCTTCATTTCAGCATTTGTTTTTCAAGACATGATCCTAAATTATGAAATTCAGATCCAAATCAACACTCTAATTGGTGATTTAGAGGTCCTGGTTCATCCCCATTGAATTTAAACAACTCCACGTGTGTCTGTGCACTGGCTTGGTCTGCATACAAAAATCAATTTAGACCAGGTTTACAAGAGCACTGTGTAAACAGCTAAGAAATTAGAATGTGCATATTTATGAAATTTCTACTTGTGGCTGTAAATTCTTCTATACAGGAGATGAGAAAAATAAATTCCCGTCTCATTTTGAGGAGAACCCAGCTGAAGAGAAAGTAAATGGCCCTGAGGTCATTAGATAAATCACTGGATTCCACATCAAGGCAATTTAGGAGAATACACATATGTTTGTTTCATATCAGCTTCTAAAACTGTAGATTTTCAAAAACCTTTAAGAAGTTGTTAGAAAATTAATAGCTATGTAAGGACAGAGCCCAGTTAGCAAGGACATGCAAATATCAACAACTGCTGCTTCCATTTTTCCATCATCTCTGCATTTTGCACAGCGTGAATCAGGAAAGAACAAGCTATCTCTTATGTTGTTTCCTGTATTTGTATCACTCAGAAAACCCCTTGAATATGTCCAATAGCTAATTATACAGCTATAAAGTGATCAGAGTGAATGCCATTGCCAGTGCAATTAACATTCTTTATGTGAGATTAGCTGGATTTGAGTCACCTGCATAACTTGCTTACAATGTTAATCTCTCAGGAGACAGAGCACTGCTTGCCCAAGCATGTTAAATAAAGAAGGTTTCTTTGCACAGCCAGGTCAAATTTAGTTTCAGAGCTAATCTTGGAAAAAAAATCTTTTTTCGTATTTTTTCTTCTGACATGGCTTGCCCATAAATAAAGCCTTGTGCTATAATTAAATATTGTTACTCTGTCAACAGCATCCAGAGCACAATATATTTGAGAAACAACAAGAAAGGGTGATAAATTAAAATCATAGGCATGTATAAAAATTTTAATATACCTATTTTATAAGCTTTCACTGAGTAAATAAAGTACCCACTTCCCAGACTTGCTCTGATGAATATTAAAAATCTTTGAAGAGAACTATAAAATAGGTCATGGTTATATGTCATGTCAGCCAGTCATGCTATTACTAGGGTGACCTTTATAACTTCAGAATAAACTTTGCTTGCAGTTATAAAAGGGGATTGTTAATGTGATCTGGACACACACCTACAATCTGTTGCAGTGCTTGAGGTATGTGCTGCAAGGAAACCCACAGATCTGAGCCAGAAATGGCAAAATGCTTTCCTTGCTTTGGGTGCTGACACAAGTTAACCTCAGAACTCAATTTTTCCCATATTTAACAATTGTTCTGAGTATCACAGTCTATTAGGGAGACTCAGATGACCTTCAGATGTATTACTGCCCTTTCCCTGCTCCTCAAAAAGTTAGACAGCCACATATGGGGCCTCAATCTAATTAAAATGTTCCTAACTACCTTAATATATTTTCTCTGCTGAGGAAACTGCTAGAGTGAGGGATTTGATGGCCCTCATAATGTAGAGCTTCAATCTGATTTAGAATTGTTCTTGTTTTCTCTATCTTTGCTGGATAGAAGACATCGCTTTTCTAAAATGTTTTTGTGTTCTAAAAAGAGTATTAAAACACAAAAGGCTTTGGGGAGGGATTTAATAGCAAATAGTTACATTTAAAAGCTTTTTGCACTTTAGCATTCTTGATCAAAAGGGAAAAAAAGGAAACATTAGATGGTGGGAAGTAAGTTTCACTTCAGAATGCTGTCAATAGAAGAGATATTTCATTAAATGAAGCGTGATCTGGATGAAGTAAAACTCTCTGCCAAAGAAACAACGTGTGGAAGAAGACAGGATATTACGATCTAACTAAACTTACCTATGTGGGTCAAATAAATGAAAAGAGAGTTGCAAAAGCAGGTGGTTTTACATTTATAGATAATCTTCTACTGCATCTTTTTTAGGCACTTTTCCCTTTTTCATTTGAGAAATAAGCATTTGTGTAGTGATTGCAAACTCCTACACTGAGCAGCACCCAAGGTGTGATGAGCTTGGACAGTACAGCCAGGGAACACCAGTAAGAGGCAAACGCAGTAAAATGAATGTTATCAGTTGCTAGTGGTTATCTCTTTTTATATACATCTACAATCATGTTAATTACAGTTTTTACTGATTGTTACATACAGACTTTGGGGCAAAATCAGAGACGTTTTTCGGAGCTGTATCGTTATCCTATAACAACTTCTTGGTATCTGTGGATAACAAATATTCTAAAGCTAAACTGGATTTTTGCAAACTGCTACAAGTAGACTGCAAGTGGAAAATACAGGGATTTGAAGAAAACCAGGAGAAGATTTGATCTGAAGGACAAAATACACACTGCTGATTTCCCTCTCTTGACCTATGAATGTATACCTGGCCTTGGTAGATTTTTCCATGTGACTGGGAAGGCTTTCCAGGATACAATGGGTCAAGATTCTGCTAAGGCCTTTCACATAGGCAGAGCTCAAGAAAATAAAATGGTGCACAATGTCTTCATTAAAGGGATTTTGGGCATTTTTTTCTTCTAATGCCATGTCATCATAGTACACTTTTTCTGAAACTAGGGTTTCTCTTTCAGCCTGACAATATCTACAGAACATCAAACACAAATACTTCCTCAAGCATCAGACAAAAATACCTCTTCATCCCACAGGACCTTATTAGCTGAAAAAAGGTTCAGATACCAAAGATAAAATCAAAGATTAATCCAAACCAATCTTTAATATGTCCAAATTGACATATCTTTTAAAGATATTTTTGTACTCTTCCTACTTATGCTTTATATTCTTTTGAGGCTCTTCTAAATATATCTTTTTCCACTGCTTGATGCCAGTCTCTTGAAGTTGATATACTAAGGCTTTCATTGATTTCACTGAGCTTTAGAATCAATATACAAGATATACCTTTGTACATTCTCTTCAAACATCTATTTTAAGTGCAAAGGGAAATAAAAGAGCATGAAACACTTAAAACAACTTGAAAACTTATCTCAGAATGGTGAAGTAGCATGACAAAATGATAAAGGTTATCTTAAGGAGTAATTCCTTCTTTATTTAATTTCTGGCTCCATATTATGTATTTACAAACAAAGCTTTCTTACAAATTGGAATTAAACTGTTTCTGTTTTGCATCTTGCTTTAATTCTGTTCAGCCAAGGGCTATGAGCCCAAAGACAAGCAATGCAGCCTAATTTGTATCACTTACACTTCGGAAATCGCCCTTTAGAATAGTGCACACACAATAATCAAGTCCCATGCTGCCTCTTTTTGTGAACATTAGGACTGAGGTTATTAACTTCCTTTAAAGTGCAGCTTAAGACTGTGACAGACCCTGTCTTTGTGCTTTACTCCAAGATTACACCTTGGAGCCTTGTAAAGGCAAAAACTACCAGTAATGCTTGAAAAAGGTGACTAACAAAATGTAGTGCATCTTCGTCACTATTCAAAACACGCTTTTGGGTAGCACTGCTATCTGATATTTATGGTATTTTACTGTGAAATCTTGTCAATTTTCTGCTGATAGAAGAATCATGACATGGGAACAATCTGCATTGACACTACCGGTATACTGTAAAGAGTGCCTAAATGTTGAAAACAATGTTTCCTATGCAGATAAACTTGGAAAAAAAGGTGGAAGTTCTACATGTATTACTCATAACTATCTCTCAGTAAAAGTTATTGAATGGGTACCTAGCCAAGTGGACATATTCTGCATATAGGAAAATTTTATTTTCTCTCCCTACTGCTTCCCAAGGTTCTTATGGCCCATTTTATTTTACTGTTTCTAAACTCAGGAAAAGTGCAATCTTTCAGGCTAGGCTTCCATGCTGTTCCCCTTGGGCCATCAGTTCCCACCACACTGACTCAGTTTTTCCACAGGCAATGCCTCAAGCTAAATTTACTGTACAGGGAGCCAGAGATCTGTCACAAGTCACATGCAGAAGTTAACTTCAGGTATTACAGAAAAACTTGGAGAGCCAAAAGTAACAAGCAGATAGTTTCTGGAAAGATTCGAGAACTAGTATGAAACAGCTCCTTTTCCTACATAATGTTTTTACTAAGGCTCCCTTCATACTGTGGAAAGGGTTTGGAGGGTTATAATTAGTCAGAGGAATGAAGACATGACTGAAGACATGACCATGATTCTGGAAAGGAATGTATATAATTAATACACATTCCTTTCCAGAACACCTATAGGTTTGCCAGTCACCTGTTAAAATTCTCTAAGTCTCTCAGTCAAGATCTCTTTTTTTTTTAATTGTCCATTTTCAAATATGTTCCAAGCAGATAAAATTTGGCACACAAATTGCATATAAGCATTTCTAGTACATTTTTCATCACCAATTGCAGTATTCCCATGTTCCTCTGACCCATGAATCATATTAGAGGAGGGCTGTGGACCTACCATACGATCCTGGTGGTTTTGCCTGGGTTCAGTGAAGCCAGTTTGAACACGCAGAGCCAATCTGATGTTTCCCAGAGTCCCTGGATTTATTTGATTTATTTTGAGTACTTAGAGTGATTGGACTGTCCAGTAGATACACTGCTTCCTGGAAATATCATGGATAATGCTCTCCAGTCAGTGTGCACGTCCTTGCTCACACCTGGGCTGCTGCCTGGAGTCCAGGAATGGAATACAACTGCTGGAAAGCACGGGCAAGTCCCCTCCTTTTGTATGGAGAGGACCAGGACTACCCTGGACACGATGTTACAGCAAGTCCAGTGCACCAACATAGAGATTCAGGGCCAGGAGGCAGCCAGGAAATGGGCACAGGGCAGCCAAACCATCTTGAGAGACAGCAGGTCATAACCTCAGCACCTGCTTCCTGCATGCTATTCCTGAACAGCAAAAAGGAAGATGGGGAGGTATCTGGGAATGCCCAGATAGAAGGGGAAATGTAGATAGGAAGATACCACTGTAGGGAATTTTAAATACAATTTTCTTCCGCTAGTCTAACACAATTAAGAAAGATTAAAATATCTAATTCCATTTATTGCTGATTTTGTTCAGTATTCACCAAATAGTTTTATATTGTATTTTGCAAGTTTATTGCTATGATTATACCCTGTAAAAAAATCAGAGCATTGTAATTGTCTATGTATTATTTTACATATCAAGACAAACCTAATATATTTCATAGCTCTGCAGGATATGAAATTACATGCACATTTCAGTTTTCATTCCTACAGTTCAGTGCTTTTTAACAAATTATTTTCTTAAGGATTTCTTAAGGCTTCATAGTTTAGGACTGCAATCTGCTTGCTATCCACAGGGAGTATTACCAGAGATTAGCAGTACTTAAACTGATGAAGGAGATATGTCACGTCTCTTTTGCATCTGCATAAAGCTACAGCTCTAACAGATTGGGTGGAAAGGGCATAATAATTTGACAGAGATCCTTTTCCTGGTTTTTTTTTGGTTTCTTTTTGCAAGGTATAATAATTCTGTCTTTAAAAGCCACATCTTTCCAGGAATCCACAACAAACCAGTTGGAGTGGAAACCTTTTCAGTCTTGAAAAGCTGGAAATCAGCATATCCTCAGAAACTCATGAAATCATATCCTCAGAAACTAATGAATCTTGCCTAGCAAAAATCTTTCTCTGCCTTTTGTGAATGACATAATGCATATATTCTTTTTAAGTGGATATACAAATGTTGAATTACACATACATGCAAACAGAGAGACGGCAATATGCCTGACTGGGTTTCCAGTGCACCCTAGTAGGCAGAAGGTGAAAAAATCTGGAGCATCTGCTTCACAAAGGATCTTAGGATTTCTATTTAAAGTCTCTCTGGGGTTTCAAAGGGTTTTGTTTGGAATTTCAATACTGTATCAAGGATATCAAAGAGGTGTAGCAGGAGGGAACATTAACACTATTTCTCTCTCTTTTGTCAGCATAGACATGTTTTCCTAGCAGTGAGGTTTTTTTCCCTTATTGATCTGCCTTTGTTTGCTCAGAACCTCTTGACTAATTCCTACAAACCCACGACTGTAGGATGTACCATAGCATGATTTTGTGGCTTCCCTTCTTATGCAGTTGTGAGCAGGATGGATCCAGCTCTAGGCTGGGGTATTACTCTGTTCTTGCTTTGGACCCTAACCATGAGGCAAGTGCTCCTAACAATCAATTTCTTGTGTTGTCCATCAGGTCCAAAAGTTCTTTCACAAAAGAAACTTACTCATTTTTAATTCATTCAGCAGCACCAAAAATCTAAATGCTGTCCTGGCTTACAGGAGGAAAAGCTGTTTCAGGTCCTCTTAAAAATGAATGCCAAAATATATATTCAAAAATTTGATTTTGGAATTGTCTCCAATGATGCTTTACTGATCAAGTGAGGTTTTTTGTGCTATCCTACAAAGGTTTGATTTCACAAGCTCTCAGGAATATGGAATTATTTAAATAGGCAATCCTGGTCTAAATCTCTGGTAAGCAAGCATCGTCAACTGTAATAGAAGCAGCTTAATTACATTTGGCCATTCTGTGAGGGAGAGCCTTCTCCTGCAATAACATCTCTGGTTATGCAACTGTGGAACTCTGGTCAGACTGAAACTATGAGCTGAGAAGGAGAATGTTGAGCCACCACAGCTCCAACATTATAAACTGCAGCTTTTAAAACCTGATCTCCTTCTGAAGCTGTGAAATGCATCTTGAGCAGTACTGCTGCGTTTTGCTGCTTTGTCTTGTGTTTTGGTGAGCCACCCAAGGTAATTCAGGCTACATTTGCAAGGAAAATGCCATAGAAGTAGGGGTCTCTTTACCAAAAACAGTCAGCTCTGCAGGGTCACTGTCGCGCTCCCCCACCATGTTGGTCCCCACACACGTGTACATTCCTGCATCGCTTTTTCTGGTGTTGGAGATCATCAGCTTCCCACCACGGATCTGTTTCGACACAAGGAACATATTTTTAACTTCAGGTAAACAAAATACATCAGAAAAACTGCTACCTTCTCAGGCAACAAGATCCACAACCAAGACATCCTAAACTTTTGTTTGTAAATATATTTATAGTTTTAAAATTATATATTTAAATATCTTTAAGCTGTTCTAGAACACATTTTTATCCCGCTGACTAAATTCAATTTGCAACTAATTTAATCTGCATTTGATTTTATTCCTTTGGTTTTCATTAGATTCTTTATATTTCAAAGATTACATTTCTTGCTGCCTCTTGGCAGTACAGAATACTTTTATTTCTTGCATGGTGATATGTAGAGCACTCTTGACATCTCTCTGAAAATAAAAGGCAATTTGACTTAGTTTTATTTAGTTAATTTTATTTTACTGGTGTTTTAACAGTTTCCTTGATCACTAATAAAGACAGATTTTCCTCTTTTTGTTGAGGTAAACAGACTGAATCTGGTCCAAACTGGGAATTCATCTGACACTTAATATTTTCTTGGCTATAAAGGGTGCTTGCAGAGTGAAAGAGCAGGGTAATTGAAAGAAATAAAGTAAAAATTTGTGGCTTGTGAAGTCACAGTGTCAAAGGTTAGACAACGGGGTGCTTCAGTATAAGATGGGAATTTAACCAAAGAAACTTGAGAGTCAGAGAATGATAGCCAGTTCTCTGCCACTCTTTACTCTTCTACTCTTAGGTAGACCCTAGCATTGACAGCCTGGTCCAAAACCAGCAACAGCTCAGATTCTTTGGCTTGGAATAATTCCTTAGGCATCCAGAGCCACTAACAAGCTTCCTGATAGTACTTCATGTTGAGTAAGGTCAGCACTGAATAATTCCATAAAACATGAAACTTTATTGAATAAATATTAATGGAAAAAAGCTAAGCATGTAAAAATAAGGAATGAAACATGTTCCCACCCCCTAATTTATCCCATTTGCTTGCACAGACCATGATTTATCTCTAATCACTTGATAAGTTAAATATTTCTGCTGGATCCTTTTTCATTCAGTACAAGAAATGAACACCCACAGAATTCAACCAGTGCTACTCATTTGCTCAACATTTATTCCTTTTCAGGAACCTTAATTCTTTAGAGTATGACTTTGGCTTCCATTTAGACACTTCCAAACTACCACAAAAACTAAAACATTACTGGTATCATTCTAAGATGTTGGGTTTTTCCCCAGGGATTATTTGTCCTCCTCATAGATTGGGTTGAATTTACTTATAAACACCTCTCGGATATTTTCAGTTTGGAGAACTGAGATGTAGAAAAGGTAAAACCAAATTGGTCAAAGACATCCACTAAGTCCTTCATCTAACTGAGCACCTCCTACAACTGAATCTCCAGCTCTGATGGACCTCTGTTACACTGGATTTACAAACCAACCCTCAAAGAAGCTCAAATTGGAGAGCCAGACAAGGAGCCTTCCCCCCTCATTTGGGAAAGCTCAGAGAGACAAACTGCCAAGAATGACAACAAACCTCTATGGGGAAGGCCATAAAGCTGTGTGAGTTCTGCTGGGCTCAGCTGTGGGCCCTGTGCATGGAGATAAAAATCCACCTGGGCTGTACTCACACTGATCCGCTCCTCTCGGTCGTCAATACGGACTTTATCTTTCTTCCAGTAGATGGTGGGCTCGGGGTGCCCTCGAGGCGGCTGGCACTCCAGTATTGCAGGCTCTCCAGCTGCCACCACCACGTCTGTAGGGTTTTGGCGGAAGTCATCCCGCAGCACTGAAGTCATAAATGAAGGAAAGAAGCAAAAAGAATTAATAGAAGTGATGGCACTTAAGTGGAGGGGGGAAAAAAAAGTAGAAACATATACTATTAAACTATTAAACAAACAAGTCTCAACCATTATTAGGTGATGACTTTGCTTCTTATATTGACTGTAAAAGATCTCAAAAATGAGGCTGGGCAGATATGCCCTTTCATCCAGTGGAGGCAGACTTCACAGACAGGGCTTTTGTTTTCCTGTTTTTTTCCTTTCCAGATAAGAACACTGCTCTGTATTTAAGTTACAAAGACATGTAGCACCCATTACTCATCTTAACCTTGACAGGACCACTTTCCACCATTACAAAAGCAGAACTGCAGGTTGGATGTTGAGTTCTTTTCATGGCAGAAAACAACCTGCTGAATATCTGCCTTGTCTGGGTCTCCAACTCCAGCAGAAGCTCGGTAAAAAAGGGACAGAACTAATACTGAGTTGCAGAGTTACACCTTGGCTAAGGGCATTGACATTATTACTGTTATTATTGCACTTCTGGCACATACATGCTAAAATGGTCATCAGTTCTGAAAGGTGTCAGAGAAATAAAACTGGTAGTAATGTACTTCCAACATATTTATTTCTTCCTTCTATATTTTTAGTTCTAATATTTTTGACACCTTGACCAGCCCTATCCCACTACATTGAAAAGAAAAGAGCATTTAAATCACCAAGCTGTTTGAGAACTAAATTAGGCAACACAGGCCAGCTTCTTATGTAAATCAAGCTTCTGTAAAGGATTAGGTCCAACTAGCCGGCTTCAGTGTTTTAGAATGATATTCACTTCATCTTTATTCTTCCATGTGTGTCCTAGTCTCTAGGTTAATTGACATTCTTATAAACATAAAACCGAAAATAGCTCTAGATGAGCTACTGAAATAGAATTTAGGGCATTTCCCCTCCCTGAATTTCAGCTATGCGTGGCTTTCATTACAGCTTTAAAAGAGTTCTCGCCCTTAATGGAACCAGGGCCCTCTGAGAAATTAGAAAACACTGTATCCTAGTGAAGGGGCAAGTCAGGAAGAGTTCAGCAGAAATTGCTCAGTCTCATTTCATAAGCAGAGATAATTTACTGCTTTCAATGTTAATAAAACGTGCCCCATTTTAACATTTGGAACTGAATATTTTTCTCTTCTGTAATAAGCCAGAAGAAAAATATGATTAATACATACAAGAATTGGTCTCTGGATAGTCTGAGGTGAGTGGGCTGTATATATCTGGCACTCAAAATGACATGGAGGTAACTTTTATTGTTCTGCATTTTGGGATATACAGGTAGATCCCAGAGGAAGGAGGGGATTAATTGGAAGTTAATTCCTTTTCTAACACACACACACACACACAAAAAGAGTGACTATTTAGGTCTTGTTCTTGAAGCATAAAATAAATGTGACAGGAGGCAGCTGGCAACAAATGCAGCTCTGACAAGAACCCGTAGACTTCTTAGGTGACACACCTAATAAACAACAAAAAACTCATTCCCCAAATATTTCTGAATAATACAAACCTTCTGATTCACAATAATCAAACTGATAGAAATGGAATTTATATAACTTCAAGATCAAGTGGAAGACATAATTCAAGCACAGAATTAGTATGATGAAGATTATATTGTACTATTGGCAGTACACCACCTTGCAAACCCAAGAAAGTCAATATCGTGGGAATGTCAGGGAAAGAACCAGAAAAAAGTCTTAGGAAATCATGGTTTTTAGGAAAGTAGCTTCATGTGTCTCTGTGATCCCCATGATACACAGGAAGAAAAAGTCTAGAAATCATCTAGACAATGTTTTGCCCACATTTGTATAAATGGCAAATAGATAAAGATTAATTTCTGCTTTTATTATTACACACAAGATAAATATTATTTTTATTGGCTTGATCCTACTTGCAATTACTGAACATCAGTGCAAATCCATAAGTGGAAAATCCCCAGAAAATCAGCAGATCCCACCGCATAATGGTTTTATATTCCTGACTCCTAACTCCTGGCAGAAATGTTAAGGAAAGCATTTTCCTTGAACAGTTCACACTGCTGTATGAACCTGACAAACACAGTTTCTTGCAGTGATACACAGCAAATTACATTAACTTTCTCTGAATCATCCCAGCAACTGTGTTAGGTTCCAATCAGCCTCAGAATATGAGGCTAAGAGGTGATTTGATTTTATCACATTCCTTTACCCAAAGTCTCACTGCAAAACTGGCTTGAATAGAAGACAAAATTGATGCTACAGGCTTTGCTTAATCTTGCTCACTACCTCAGCACATATGTGAATCTTGAATAGATATATATCACCATTTCCATCTAAAGCATTCTCTGTTTTGGAGGGGGAAAAAAAAGGTTGGAGAAAAAAGAAATAGGGAAAAAATAAAGCAATGACAGAAAAGCAAAGATAAGAGAAAAATGCATGAAGTATAAATTAAAGTGAGAAAATAACTCCGAGAGGAAGAGGGAGAACACTAACTTTAGGGAGATGAGAAAGAAAAAGCCAGGTAAAGGAAGGGAAAAGAAAGAATGAAAGCAGAGGGACAAACAAGGTAAAGAGCCAAGGGCACAGGCTGCCATTGCTGTAATTCAGTATTTTAATGCAATCTAACAACAATGAAATAAAGCACAGATGTTAATCTGATCAGCCCAGTCACCCCAGAACATCCAAATATCACCCCAAGAGAAAGGGGGCAGGGAAGAGGAGGGCAGAGCATGAGCTGGTGAGCTTGGCTCTCCTCCTGGAGTGGCACAGGAAGCCACAGAAGGAAGAACCATCAGCTGGAAGTTGAGTTCATACTACTAGAACAGTAAATTGAAAAGTTGCAGCACAGCTTAGTGCACTCACCATATCTAATGGTACAATCATCTGCGAAAACAGAAAAATGATTGAGAGCTGCAGAATATTCCTCAGCCAATTATCCACAATTGCTGGCTACTTCCAAATGACTATTAGTGTGCCTGAGCAGACCAGCCTCTCCACACACAGGCAAAAGAGTTTTGTTCACTTGAAAAGCCAGCCATCCTCAGGGCCCTTTTTGGCAGGGCACAAAAACTAATCTTTTAAAATTTAACAAGCAGCACTATGTTGCCACCAGCCTCCTCTTCCTCTTAAAAGCAAATTGCTTTACTTTTAATTTTACACACAGCTCACTTTGTGCTTGCATGGGTGTTTCCCTATGTTTTTGGGTGTTACCTTACATTCTTTACTGTGAGGGTGACAAGGTCAAAAGAAGTTCTGGATGCCCAGTCCCTGGAAGTGTTCAAGGCCAGTTGAGGTGGAGCTCTGAGCAACCTGGCCTAGGAAAGGTGTCCCTGCCCATGGGTGATCTTTAAGTCCCTTCCAAGCCAAACCTTTCTGTGATTTTATGACTAAACAAGGGGTGCCAAAAAGTGCCCCCCACACTGCATGCCAGCCCAGAACTGCAGCACAGCCATACCCCAGGGGCTGCTCCCCCTACCAGCCCGACGGCAGCACACACACCCCCACGTCTCAAAAGGCAGAGCCTTGCAAGGGCAAAAGCTTCCAGATGGCTGAGCCCCACTGTCTGGAAAGGCACCGAGGGACTGGAGAACTGCAAAGAACAGCTAAAGCGTACACACAGCCTATGATGGCACCCCGGACAAAAGTTAATTAAAGTTTGATCAGTCTCTTTGTGGCTCAAACAAGCTGATGCTGCTCAAACAAGATAGATGTCTGCGAGCAGTCATGACACTCTTTAAGGCAGCAAAGCTCTGTACAGCCATTTCCAGGTAGCCAGGAGTATCACCAGGGAAAGGGAGCACATCCAGCAACGGGATAAACACACGGAGCACGCACCTGCCAGAGTGAGGCATGAGGGGGAAAGGAGCAAAAAGGAGCCTCCGCTCCCAAGGCAGCTGCTAACCAGCACATGCCAGCTTAGGCCCAAATCCAGCCCTCGGTCAAACTGATGCTCATAAACTCAGGGAATTACATGGAAACTGAATTAATTTCCTCGGCTAAGGTTCCAGCAATTTGTTTAAAGGAAGTGGAGATAAAGCCACGATGTTTATGGGGTAGGAGGAAAGGTGGTGGGGTCAAAATTATTCTAGGCTAGATATCCATGCCTTAATCCTTCTTTCCAGCTTTCAGGCCCTTAGAAAGAAAACATTTTTATAGGATTTACATTTACATGATGATTACAAATAACCATCTGTCTGCTTCCACTTTTTCAATCTGGTCCATGTCCCACGAGCCCCCAGCCTGTGGTCAGAGCAGCTAAGCTGGAAGGAAGAAGTGGATGCCCGTCAGGAGGCTTTGGGATAATTGCATTCTTCTCCCACCAGCGCTTGTCTCTCTACCTCCTCCCCCTCTGTGTGCACGGCGAACATCTGAAATTACCGGGGACAAGAGGGAGGGAAAGAGTATCTTTGTTGCCTTTTTCAATGAATTATAATGTCCTAAAATACAGCTACATCTGTTGTGCTGACTAGAGGGTATAAAGAGATATCGAGTAAATATTAATGCACTTCTGTAACTTGGGTCCTGGTAGTTCATCTTCCCCCTCCTGTTCTGTTTTATCTCAGGATAATATTATTCTCATATAAAGATTTTACACAGCCACATCGGTGGTGGTTTGGTCCCCTGCCACACCACAGGTAGGTCTCCCCTGATCCAAGGCACTTCCCCACAGGCATTTTCCGAAATCCTCATCTCTCCGCCACTGCTCTGGCACTTCCCTTCTCTGATGCATACTGATATGAACAATTGACATGAGTTATTAAGTCAAATAGCTGCCCAGATGTCATGCAGTGGGCAGATTAAAGGATTATTATACTTTAGGAAGCATACGGTGCAGGGAGGTATTTTAGATCTTGACTAATGTGTATGATCTGCTGAAATGGTCCCTGAGCAAGCCAGCACTACCTGCTGAAACAGGGTGACAGAAAAAAACCCAAGGGGTCACAGACAGCTTCCCTTGTGAAGAATAATAGACTTTATTTGAAGATGCT